TCTTTAAATATAAAAAACTTACTTACAGTCTGTGAGTCAGAACAGCCGGCATTGTAGTCTACTCTCCCAGGATCAGGAAACAGTCCTCCATAAAAAGCGCTGGACACATCTGAATGTTTGGGTTGAACTGTTCTGAAACAGTGTTGTAAATACAACTTAACCACTGATTTGTAGTCGTGTCCTCTTTTGGAAGACCAAACAAAGTAGTTTCGCTTTCACAACGAAGCACACAGCGTCTTCACGACATGGCTGCAGCGTCAACAATACTACAGTGAGAATAAAAGTTACGCCTTCTTTCTTTGCGTGAACATTTGGGTGGCGTTATGCAAATCTTCCCACATAGTGAGGTAGATATGTGGGGGCGTGTTAGAACGAGCCGTTTTAGGTAGGTGTGGCTGACTCTGAACTTTTATAAAGAATATCTCTTTGGATTTGAGACTTTAGTCTTTGCAACTTTACAGATCTTCTTTATGCACCAAGAGCTTGTAACACTCCAAAGAGTAAGGACAAATTTAAATCGCATCAAATGACCCCTTTAATCTCAACTTTTTCGTTGTGCCTTAAGAAAGAAGAGAAGAAGGTCTCTAGATAACAATAATCATTGCAAAGATTTTTTGTCTATTTATCTATTTTATTATTGTGAGATGCCAAATGATAAAAAAAAAAACAGAATTTAAATAAAAATAAACTAACATTTTACTTTCCATGGACTGTACCAACTTTTTGACTGGGCTTTAAAAATCATGGTCTCAGATCATAATATATATTGCAAAAGTTTTTGGCCTTTTATCTATTAACATTGGTGAGAAATGAAATTAAATGAAATGATATGAAATTAAATTAAATTACATGTTTTTTTAATATTTCATAAGATAAAATATAATATTTTTTTAAATGCTACCTGTGGTACATTAAATGCCTAGAAAGGGGATATTTTGGGGGATATCTATATACACAAAGATGTAAATTAGTAACTTACTGCAGATCTATAGGCATAATTATTAAGAGTAAACATATGTACACATCATTGTCTTTATGTCAATAAGTGCATCATGTTGGCATATATATTTTTAGTGTGTACAGTTTATAAAGCTTAATGCCAAATCAGCTACAGTATATCAAACACAGAATATATTAAGACTAAAGCATCTTCAATCAGCACCACAAACAAACTCATCGTCTTGTAGAGAGATTATAATGAGCCTCTGAAGACGAACAATTTCACAGTGTTTTCACAATTAATTGCAGTGTAATGAAGATCCTTCGTTTCTGAGGGAATTGAGCAGTTTGAATCCGCATCTGAGTTTGGCAGAGTCTCTCCACAGATACGACTATGAGTGGCAGTGAATTTCAACGCATCCTGTTGAAAACCACAGAGAGATCAAACCTGCGTAGTATATATGCATGTACGTGTGTGTACGTCCACACAGCTGTGGTGGGCAACGTCTGGGAGCAGGAGACGGAGGATTTAATCGCTGTCAGGTCCAGAATTAACAAGCTAAACAAATAACAGCTTGTAGCGAGTCCCCAGCACGCAGTCGTTTTTCCTCACAGATAACGTTTCGAATGACGGAACATGTCCGTCCTGAGCTGAGCCGTCCTCTGTAAGGCTTACTGCTCATCTCAGCTATGAATCAAGCTATGCATGTAATCTTTAGCACGTGGTTTAGAATTGAGAAAGAGAGAAGAAGATGTAGGATGAGAGATAGGACACAGAAAGAGACAAATGGGGTTTATCTGGTGAGGGCAAAGCAGTCCATACTGGGATTACAGCAGGGATGAGTAAGTAATACAGTTGGGGAATCGAGACGCAGAAAAGAAACAAGAAACAGACCGGTAAAAAGTAAAGATGCGGGGGAGGAGAGAGATGGAGAAAGAAATCGGATATAGGGTTTAGCCCAAAATCCCATTGAACAGCAACGTCTTTGCAACTTTACAGATCTTCTTTATGCACCAAGAGCTTGTAACACTCCAAAGAGTAAGGACAAATTTAAATCGCATCAAATGACCCCTTTAATCTCAACTTTTTCGTTGTGCCTTAAGAAAGAAGAGAAGAAGGTCTCTAGATAACAATAATCATTGCAAAGATTTTTTGTCTATTTATCTATTTTATTATTGTGAGATGCCAAATGATAAAAAAAAAAACAGAATTTAAATAAAAATAAACTAACATTTTACTTTCCATGGACTGTACCAACTTTTTGACTGGGCTTTAAAAATCATGGTCTCAGATCATAATATATATTGCAAAAGTTTTTGGCCTTTTATCTATTAACATTGGTGAGAAATGAAATTAAATGAAATGATATGAAATTAAATTAAATTACATGTTTTTTTTATATTTCATAACAAGATAAAATATAATATTTTTTTAAATGCTACCTGTGGTACATTAAATGCCTAGAAAGGGGATATTTTGGGGGATATCTATATACACAAAGATGTAAATTAGTAACTTACTGCAGATCTATAGGCATAATTATTAAGAGTAAACATATGTACACATCATTGTCTTTATGTCAATAAGTGCATCATGTTGGCATATATATTTTTAGTGTGTACAGTTTATAAAGCTTAATGCCAAATCAGCTACAGTATATCAAACACAGAATATATTAAGACTAAAGCATCTTCAATCAGCACCACAAACAAACTCATCGTCTTGTAGAGAGATTATAATGAGCCTCTGAAGACGAACAATTTCACAGTGTTTTCACAATTAATTGCAGTGTAATGAAGATCCTTCGTTTCTGAGGGAATTGAGCAGTTTGAATCCGCATCTGAGTTTGGCAGAGTCTCTCCACAGATACGACTATGAGTGGCAGTGAATTTCAACGCATCCTGTTGAAAACCACAGAGAGATCAAACCTGCGTAGTATATATGCATGTACGTGTGTGTACGTCCACGCAGCTGTGGTGGGCAACGTCTGGGAGCAGGAGACGGAGGATTTAATCGCTGTCAGGTCCAGAATTAACAAGCTAAACAAATAACAGCTTGTAGCGAGTCCCCAGCACGCAGTCGTTTTTCCTCACAGATAACGTTTCGAATGACGGAACATGTCCGTCCTGAGCTGAGCCGTCCTCTGTAAGGCTTACTGCTCATCTCAGCTATGAATCAAGCTATGCATGTAATCTTTAGCACGTGGTTTAGAATTGAGAAAGAGAGAAGAAGATGTAGGATGAGAGATAGGACACAGAAAGAGACAAATGGGGTTTATCTGGTGAGGGCAAAGCAGTCCATACTGGGATTACAGCAGGGATGAGTAAGTAATACAGTTGGGGAATCGAGACGCAGAAAAGAAACAAGAAACAGACCGGTAAAAAGTAAAGATGGGGAGGGAGGAGAGAGATGGAGAAAGAAATTAGTCCATACTGGGATTACAGCAGGGATGAGTAAGTAATACAGTTGGGGAATCGAGACGCAGAAAAGAAACAAGAAACAGACCGGTAAAAAGTAAAGATGCGGGGGAGGAGAGAGATGGAGAAAGAAATCGGATATAGGGTTTAGCCCAAAATCCCATTGAACAGCAACTACATTGAAGTATGTCTCACAAATCTCAAGTACATCATAACACATTAACACTTGATTGTGAATTTCGAGTCAGATATGACTGAAACCAATGACTTGTAATTCAGGGAATGAGTCAGATGTTAATTCAGTAAACACTTTGAATGATTCAGTCAACAAGTGAGCAGTTTTAGACCAATGGCGTCATCGGTTATGAGTCGTTTAGCCCAATTCATTAAACAGAACCAGACCACAGAGGTCATTTGTTTACGAATTGGATTACACTGGTTTACAGCCGTTGTGTTGCAACAGAAGCATCTGAATTTTATGTACTGAGAAATAGGCGAGTATTTTAGAATTTAGTGTGGTATTCTATCCACATTGGTGAAGGATTAGAGATATTCAAGAACCATTAATGTAAACAAATATCATAAAAATAATCTGGTTCTGTTATTTATCTATTTACCTATCTATAGTATTTATACGTTTTATAACAAACCACATATTTCTGAATAAACAGACGTTTATACTGAGTCTGGGTTATTACTAGCAAGTTCAAATTTATTTATTTATTTATTTAAATTAGGGTCGGGACTCAGGGAACTCTTATTAAAAAAAACTGTTCAATTAAACAATCACATAATTTCATAATTCACATTTTACATATTACAAATGCAAATTTATTTCCAATGAACTAGGGCTGAAACTAACAATTATTTTGATAAATGATTAATCTGTCTCGATTAATTGGATGAAAAAAAATCCCATCTTACTTTATTTTATTTTGTATTTTAATAAAAAAAGTTATTATTGTGCTCCCATTCTATTGCGCTCCATCTGTTTGTTCAATTCAATTCAGTTCAGTACAGGACACTTTATTGTCCCTGCAGGGAAATTTGTCTTGGACTCATGGTGCTCACATACACACTGTCCGGTCATTTTTGTAGAAACACAATGGCTAGAACACAACGACTTTATTACATCCATCAGTACACAGACAATAGATAAGAATATACTCAGAAATAAAATACAAACCTAAAACATAAAATCTATTAGACGATACAACCTCGTTAAAAAAAAAAAAATCCTAAAAAACTATTACACTCACTTCTTCAGCATTATGCAAAATGGAATACAGGAATAAAGATAAAAACATTAAAAAGTAAGTGGGGAATGCGCTGAGGAAACATGTCTAGAACACATTAAACAGAGACCTGCATCAAACGTTATGTTTATTCATTTGTTTAAAGCTCTTAATATAAACGCACTCGGCTTGGTTTTGCATTTTCTTTCTGCAGAAGCTTGCACTGTGACATCTGCTGTTTCAGATGCGTTTCATAGAAAGTTTCAAAAGTGTTACCCACTACTGTAAAGTGACATGGTGGTGGATGTCTTCCATAATCGCTTTGTTGTTAATTATTTTCATTATCAATTGTTATCAGTTTTATCATTATCATTGTTTCAGCCCCACAATGAACTATATGATGGTCTTAGTGCCACTTAACTAAAACCATGGTATAGTCTACATCTACGATGATCTAATGAATAATGAAGGTCTTACCCCATTAGAAGGATATGAGGTCCAACCCAGCTCTGCCTGGGACTCCTTAGAATTCAGCAAGACAACTGTAGGAAAAAACAAATCAAGAGAGAAACAATATAAGAACTGATAAGGTATCAGAATCACTAAATCGCAATTATATGTTGTGCATTTTCTTTCGCACTGTCAGAGCACATAGAACTGATAGTGTTCAATAATAATGAACACACAGTCCCAGAGGACGGGCTGTTGATCTGGAGGGTGACTGCATCAGAGGAGCATTTAGAGCTCAAATGGGGACTGACAGACCTGCAGAGCTGCACTTAGTGAAATGAAGTGCACCGGTCATCAGCTGATAATGCTGGTCAGCTTTGCAAAGCACAGGAATCATGACGAATTTCAGCCAGGAAATATGGTCTGTGGTTCAATGTGCTGGTTTAACATTTAAACATTAATTTTCTAAAGAGAAAATAAATGTTTTACGACACCACCATGATTCAATAGAGCCCAAGAGGCCTGTGAAGCAAATTCATGTTGGCATTTGTCATTTCTGCTGCATTTCTACAATGACAAAGCCCTAATGTGAAACTCTGCTTATAAACTAAATTAAAATGAGCAGTGAACCCTTGAATGTTGTTATTCAGCAATTCGGACAAGTACAAGACTGTGTAAACTAACTCGACCAAGCTGAAACACTTTTAAAAAGATGCCCTTGACACAAATAGAGCCTGGGCTCTAAATCAGCACCTTGGACAAGGCTTGTTGGGATGAAGCCTATAATTCAGAACCACAGACAACACCCAGTACTCAGAAACACAGTATAAGCACCCTGGACAGCAACATGACTGTAGGGCCAATTCAGCACCATGGACAGAACCACTGCCTTTCTTTCCTAAAACACTCTGCCAAAATCTGTACAAAACAAGAAGATTTATAAGGGCAAACATGTCTTTTTTGATGCTAAAGTATCCTTTTCCAGAGTAATGTGCAAAGACAAATACATTTACAAAGAGTATAAACACTATAGCTCTTGTTCTCATTCAAAAGTTTGGGGTCTGCAATTTTTTACGTTTTTCAAAGAAGTTTCTTTCAAGAAGAATTCTCACCAATGCTACATTTACTTGATCAAAAATACAGTAAAACAGTAATATTGTGAAATATTATTCCAAATTTAAAAAGTAGTTTTCTATTCTTACATTCTATTCTTATTTAATATATTAGATATTATTACTTACATTTATTAATAATTATTCATATTAAATATAAAAATGATCGAAAAACAGTAATACTGTAATAATGCTCTGCAAAATTATGAAAGATATGTGGGTGCATTAAATAGGCAAACATATATTTATATATTATATAGTACATTATACAGCATATAAGTTTGACTCCAAACTTTTGAATGGAAGTATATGTTTGCCTAGTTAGTGTTTTAAAGTGCCCACATTCTGCCACATACAGTACCTGCCCTCATTTTGCCAAACATGGTGGGTTACCAGAAGCTGAATTTTTCATTAATATTTATTGCTACCAAAATGCTTGTTTCTCTTTGCTCAGCTCTCTGCTGTCAAACACAGAGCCACGCGAGACCAGCAAAATGCCACCACTACGCCACTGACACGGACTCTGTATTAACACATGCACACGGCTCTGACATCACAACTCTAGTCTGAATGCCACTTCACAAGCCAGATGAGCTGCAGAAAGCGCCTTCAGAGGAGCTGTGCACTTCTGCCACGAGAGCACTTGTATCTTACAGCATGACTCAGATCATTTTTAGCCTTGTAGATTTGCGGTTACTGCCAAGTATTATGAGGGGGGGAAAATATAGAAAATGTACTGAGGGGTGAGTATTTTACGTTCCCAAGGTTTTCTGTGGTAAACATAGACATAAATTTCACAGTGTTCTGACTTTGCTTCAGTTGGTTTGAGTGGGGTTTTTTTTCGCCCTCAGAACAGCTGTTGCTTGGTCTCTCCACTTTTAGGGGACAAGATGCCATTTGATTTCTGCTGAGACGGGCCCCCTACTGATCTGACCTTCAAGAAACACACAAAAGTAGAAAGAGACGCTGTGCCAGACTAAGTTATACTACACAATGCAGTCAGAGAGACACAGTGAGGTCAGACTAAGAGACAGAAAAACAGCAAAAAAATGTGAAAACAAGAAGTAGAAGAAATCGTTCACCCAAAAATGAAAAATCATTTACTTGCCTCATGTCATTCCAAAACCATTTGTCTTTCTTTTGTGGAACACAAATGGGTAGATTTTAAAATGTGCTCTTAATAAAGTCTGTTTTCTAAATGCATGTGATTGATCTTATTGTGAACGATTTATCCATGCATATGTTCTAATTAAAAAATAAATAAATAAAGAGCTAGTAACTTTTTAAATCAAAATGTCATAACTCGATCTTCCGGTGAAGATTTTGATGTATGCCAGACTTCTCTTATAATTTTAAATGCTGCCCTTTTCTTACAATTGAGCTCACATTCAAATCTGCCTCCATCCAACCGACAGATCCAAGTCTCCTTCCTACATATTTTTCTCTTTCATTAATCTGTTTCACTCTGATGTACATCACAATATGGAAGATCATCACAACTTTAAAGTCACTCTCTTCCATGCAATTAATGGAGCTTTCAAGCTTCCAAAAAACGCAAAAGCAGCATAAAAGTGTCATAAAACAGGTCATAAAACTCAATCGCTATATTCCAAATCATTTGAAGCTATGCATTAGCTTTGTTTTTTTTTTTAAGTCATTGTTCACTAGACATCCTGTTTGACAGTCATAGTCCCCAACTCACTATACAAAAAAGAGCAGCTTGGACATTCTGCTGAACATTTCATTTTATGATCTACAGAAGAAAGTCACTCAAACAGGTTTGGAATGACATGAAGGTGAGTAAATGACCACTTTTTAATTTTAACATGAACTATTCCATTGAATCGAGCCGAAATGATCCGGGACGTCATTCCGGGGCTTTTGATTCCAAAAATACACACATTCTGTCTCTATTTAGCGAATGTACTCACCCCAAATAACCTTCATTACATTAAGCACTATTCTTCCATCTAGACATTAGCAGAACCTGGGAGCAGAATTATTCCCTCATCCCCAAAAACCCAAATTAACCTCTGAAGAGAGGTCACAAACAAAGAGAACGTCAGAAAGAGGACTGACTGAAGGATGTGCTTATGTCACAGGGGCACTAATCTCCCTGTCAAACCCAACACACTTATGTAAATCCCAGTGAAAGAATTATAATATGAGAACCATTACATTCAATAGAGGGGATTAGCCACATGTTGTTAAACTCGCTTCCATGCAGCTTATCTGCGTATATACATAAAGCACACACAGGCTCAGAATGCACCAATCAGAGTCCAGAGACCTGTGGGACCACTCATCGACCAAACATTATCCCTCTAAAAAGCACACACACACACAAACTTAAATGGACTCTCTATGTGCATGCGTGCGCTAGTGGCCGTTAAAGCCAACCAAATGGCAAAGCGCATTAAGTTGAAGCCCCACACAGACCTTTATGACCTCATTAAACTTTCAGCTCTGCCATTGGGGTCTAAAGAGCGCTTGCTTTTCTCTAGGGTTCCATGGAAACGTTTGCACGTACGCGCACAAGCCACTGAATCATAAAAACAGCTGTTTGCCTGGGTTTCCGCGCAGGGGGAGGTGTATTCACGAGGACCTCTCAGTCATTCTCGCTCTTCTTTCTGATCAGCTTGGCATCGTTTCGAAATGGGTCACGGTGCAGAGCGCCCGCTTTTAAAAACACAACCCCCCTCCGAGCTAACACAACACGACATCCTTTCCAAAACCGACTTGCTTGGCTCTTACATGATCTTGACATAGCTAGGCTTGTAGGCAGTTATAAATGAAACACTGTTTTCAGGAAAAGGGGGTTGAGCGGAAGTCAAGGTGCAAGAGATTTTCTGCGGTTGGTCAGTGAGAATGGCTTGAGTCATGGGCTGTGACCGTGTGGGGTCCGGTTATGGCAGGTCCGTGTGCTGACGGAGATGTGAGTGACAGCTTCCTATTGATTCAGTCTCCCTAAATGATGAAGCTTGGCTCGCTTGTAACGTCATCATCTCCCCACCAGATCCTTTGAGCTGTCAGAGTGAAGAAAAATAAGTTAATGTGCTTAACAAGTGATTTGGGGTCATTAAATGGTCATGGAATGACTTAAGACTGACATGCACAGCTTTGAAAGCTGCTTTGCTTCATGTTCTGTGAAGATGATTTGGAATTAAGCAAGTAAAGGCATATTTTTACTTTTGTATATGAGGAGGGCTGGGCTTCATATGCCATCTCTCATACGGCTTCATACATCAGAAGCCGTATGAGACTTGGCATATGAAGAATCCAAAATTCTGCCACATCTGACAATAGCGAGTGAATTGAGAAAATTTAACTAAATGTAACTATTTTTTCTTCAAACATAAGAACAAGTTCAAGTTTGGGGTCAGTAGGATATTTATTTATTTATTTATTTAAATAAATTAATACTTTTATTATGCAAGGATACACTAAATTAGTCAAAAAATAAAGATATTTATCATGTTACAAAAGATTTCCATTTCAAATAAAAGCTGTTCTTTTGAACTTTCTACTCACGAAGAATCCTAAATAAATGTATCACTGTTTCTACAAAAACATTAAGCAGCACAATTGATTTCCATATTGAAAATAATAATAAGCTTCTTGAGCAGCAAATCAGCATATTAGAATGATTTCTGAAGGATCATGTGACACTGAAAACTTTTAATAATGAGTGCTGAAACTTCAGCTTTGCCATCACAGGAATAAATTACATTTTAAAATATATTCAAATAGAAAACTTTTTTTTAGGTTGTACAATATTTAACATTTTTACTGTAATTAAAGAAATGCAGCCTTGATGAGCATCTTTCAAAAATATAAAAAAATTCATGATTAGTGAGAAGCATGCATACTGTATATTTTCCCCTCCAATTTAACATTTATTTAACCATTATATTTAAGCCTTATTTTTATATACTGCACAATATGCATTTACACAGACTTTTTTCAGTGCTATCCCAAGC